TGTATTACAAGCACTTTAGTGTGTCAAAGAGCTGCCTTCAAGTGCCTCGTAGCATTTTTCTCATGTTTCTTCTCTCCTACCTGTGTAAACACTACAGTGTCTGTAGATGAAATTACTGCTTGATTTAAAGTCAAACTGTGAAGTGCGAACTATATTCTTCCCGGGGAGTTTTTGGTAAATGTACCTTTTTTAGTATTCATCACCCAATACATTCCACTATTCTAACAAATTAGATGGCGTTGAATTCAACCAGAATCTTGCTGTGCAACACATGTATCTGTCAGGCTTGTTGAATTTCATAAAACCTTAGCCTGCAGTGTGCAATATTTGTCATCTTAGTCACTGGCTGTAAGTACCAGCAACAAAGACCTAGTTAGCGTCAGGCATCACCAACCCCCCATACTTTTACTGTCAAGAACAATATATGTGCAAAAAATGCCTAATGCAGGATGAATATGGGAAAATATATTGCAATTGCACTTGTTCAGTGCTTGAGCCATTGTCTGGGAGGGGGTCAAACGGGCTTATTAGGGGGTCACTGCTCCATTCAGGGTGATATCCAATGAGTATCTAGTAAGTAAAATCTAGTAAAATAATATGAAATAAAACAATAATTTATATTAGACCCATAAGCCAATTTTGTTTATGATAACATCAAAGAATTAAAAATCTGACAGAAACTATAAAAATCACAAGGCTGAAACCCAGCATCAATAATACTCATGACTTATTTGTGCCCATAACAAATATTTTATCAGTAGTTTAAAGTTCATCTCTACTGTAAAAAAATCGATTCAAGCTAAAGATATCTGATGACATGTAAACTGATTCTGCTTACAGCTTTTGATATTGAGCTAACTTTAAAATGCTAGCTAATGTTAGCCTACACCTGTGCTTTTCCATGAATGTCCACAGATCTCAATTAGGTGATAAAATAATTAATGTAACAATACACTCCAGACTGACAAATTCCAACTACTGTTTACCATCTACTAGCATCGATTCACCTGCTGTCTAGCTAAAACATAGCAGGAAACTGCTGTGTGCAGGCAGCTAATGCTAAATCACCCCACTGGTCTTTGAGAATAAAAAAATGCCAAATGTATAGAGAAATAGACGGTGTGACACCGCTTCCTGCACTATGCAAAAGTGAAGCCAAAATATCACAAATAGATTGTGCAACCAGATTCTGCACAGTAGCGACTAGAGGTGGAGCTGTATCAGGCCGCCCATCAAAACTGTCATATCATTCGGAATTCATCCATTTTTAAATAATCAAATAACAACAAAAACAAACAAACATCATAAAAATGACCACCTGTACACAAACCAGCATGATCATATCTACCTAAAATGACAGAAATTACTTTTGAGAAAGATGTATTTGATTTGTACTGCAGTGCTGAAACATTTTTTATTTTTGCAACCCACTGCTGCTCTAATCCACCGAGCTACCTGAAAAATAAGTTTTATTTTCCTGAACGTACTAATACCATTCTTACTGCTTCAAATTGGCAAATTCTCATGATTGCTGCTAAACTGAAATCACTTTTATTTGGACAAGTAAGTTACACAGACAAGGAATTTATTTCCGGTACAGAACCGAGGCAGCCATCTGCGGCGCCAACTCAACTGATGGCAACTTGGGGGTTCAGTGTCTTGCCCAAGGACACTGCGACATGTGGACTGCAGACACTGATATTCGAACCTCCGGTTGGGAGACATCTGCTCTATCCACTGAACCACAGTCATCCTTAAATTGTTATCAATGAAACATTTTATTAATTAAATAATGCATCTGAGATATGGGATTCAAATGTGTAATGCTCATGAGAGGTGTCTGCCTTTTCAGTCTCATCAGTATTATTTCAGTGAGCCATCTGTGAACTTTCCTATCCCAGCCGTTATATTTGAACAGCTTCACACCCATAACGATAATAGAGTATGAGGTATTGGACTTAGCCCCTGGGATCCAAGTCTACTATTAACATTCCCACTGGGCTGGTCCACATTTGGCCACTGAGCGCTACAGCTTGTCCAACGCCTTATCATTCATCACATTTAAATCAATTCAGGCCCACACTAGTCTTAACTGCTGCTCATAGATTTAGACTTTTTAATATGACACATTTCTTCACTACTCTACTCTACTTACTCATTATTCTATTATAAAGTGAATTTACATTTTGAATAGACAAAGGAGGGAGTGAAGCCATAAAATAATCCTTAAAAAAATGCCGTCCACTAACTCTCTTTAAGAATTACAGGTTTTAAGAGGACACCCCTGAGGCCCAGAATTCAAGTTTAATTAGAGAGACATTGTCCAGAATATATAGATTTACATGCAGTTCCTTTTCAGTTTTCAGTGTAATCTGGCTTCTTATCATTTTACTACTCCAGAGTATTTTTTCTTCCAGTAAACTCCAATTAGATCCATTGTAGGTCCCAGACAGTGACGAACTTACCGTTACTGGACACAGAAATGGGGATTTGTTTCCTCAGCCTAATTTAGTTTAGGCTGCTGAGCTATCTGAGACTTCATTTACATTCAAATGTAACCAGGAGTACAGAGCTCAGATTGGATTTGTAACTAAAAATATCAACACTAAAGGCACCCAGCAAACTGGTGCAGCTAATAGTGCAGGGATGGAACTCAATTTCTATCCTGATAGTAATGCATATTTGTTTCCTTTTAATAAAAAAAGCCAGCGTTTTTACATATTTATACATATATTAAACATACGAGCGCTTTTCTTTGATAAAATGGCCTCAAATTGGCAAAATTCTGATTTAAATCAGGAAACTGTTTAATCAAATAATAAGAATACAAATCTGACCAGATGTCTGATGCCAGCTTCCAATATGAACCAGTAGAGCTGAAATGATTAGTCAAATAATTGATTGTTAAACAGAAAAGTAGTTCTCTGTTATTTTGATCAATTAATCAATCAGTTTTTGACTGGACTAAAGAACTTCTTTGGCTCTGAGAAACCATAATGAGCAACTTTCACTTATATGACATTTCACAGACTGAGAAATGTATAGATGAATCAAAATTTATTGACAGATGAATCGATCAATAAATTTATTGTGATCTCATGTTTGCTGGTACTATAGGAGTAACACAAACACACGAGACCTCTCTTTGGATCCCCACATTTCTCGTATAATGAACGAGCTATTTGTAAAGGCCAAATAGTTTTTTATTCCTCAAACACACAGTAATAAAGAAAAGTTCAAGTGAAATGCCACAGTTCACAATGTGACACAATTCATCATCCCATGCACTGAAATGTTTAAGGTTATCAACACTCTCCTCATCAGGAAGGGGGCTTTCATCA